CTCTACCTGACAAATGTCCAATCAGCAATCTTTTCCAAGGTGGTGTGGCTGACATTTCTACACTGATACAGTAATTCCTTTATGTTTTTTGGTCTTATGTCATATTAACATTTCCAGATGTATTGGAGGTTGGGTTTTATTGATGCAAGATTGAGAGAAATAAATGCTTAAAATATTTTAATGTAAATGTACTCATTTATAATGCACTGTTGTGAGGTATTTGCCTCCTTGTGTATTGCACATGTTTCAGCTTTTTTGTCACTTTAAAATAAAATATAAGCAGAGGCGTGCACAGACATTTTGGGGGGCAGGTGCTCAGGAGGTGGGGGGAGGGCACTTTTTAGCACAAACCACTTAAAAATAAAATGTGAACAGCTTTTAAGATTTTTCAATATGATTAACCCTCCTTTCTTGGTATTGTGCTGCAATTACTAAATCAATATACAATTAAGACAATAAAGAGACCAAAATGTGTTAATTTATGTCTAACAAAACCTATACAACAGAAAACGTTTGTCTTAACACATAGATTTGTACAGAAGAGGATTAGGGCCACTGGGAAAAAAAAAAAGTTAACTGATTTTTAAATTTTATTTCAGTTTAACATGGGAAAAAAGTCAGAATTCTGACTTTTTTATTGTCAGAATTCTGAGATTAAAGTCAGAATACTGAGCAAAAAGTCAGAATTCTCAGCAAAAAGTCAGAATTATGAGAAAAAAGTTAGAATTATGAGATTAAAGTCAGCATTCTGACTTTTTTCCCATACTAAACTGAAATAAAATTTAAAAATCAGTTAACTTTTTTTTTTTTTTTTCAGTGGCCCTAATCCTCTTCCGTATTTGCAATTGCAAACTCTACCAAAATTATTTGTAGCCTATGTGGTCGTCCTCACGTTATCTGTCATTGACTTGGGCTACAATGTAAAACTTTCAGAATCAGAATCAGGTTTATTGACATTGTTAGTGAAGGAGTTCATAAACTAGGAATTTTTTATGGTACAATCGTGCAACATGAAACATATAATATTGAATAGGTAAATAAAATTACAAAAATATCTAAAAACTGTGGGTATACGTCATGCAATAAAATAGACTAATGTATACACTTAAGATAAAAAATATGGATACAAAATATAAAAAGTAAAATAGCATCTTACAAGGAGACAACTAGTTTATCTGGTGACCAGTCGGCAAAATGCGTGTTTGGTGCTGCTGAATGAGACATTTTAATGCACAACAAAATGATTCTGCTTGATCTGTATATTACCTGGCTAATGGGGCACGGGAGAAGCAGCCTGTCAGCGACCGTTCCTGCTATCTGAAAACTGCTATGATGCTGCACATCTGGCATGCCCTGCGGGCGACCGAGCGAGTTCACGTGACAAAGGAAGAGAGAGAGGCTGGTCTTTGTGCGCAAGTAGGTCGGTCATTTCGGGGCATTGTTTCAGTTGTTTTTAATGGCTCAGGTTTTCAAAAGATCATTTCAAAACCGACCTCAGTAAAATCTTAATAATATTAATAATAAAAAAAAAAAAAAAAAAACGAGTTTCAAAAGGGCATTTTCTTTGATAGAGGGCAAACTTCCTAGTGCTTTAGCACCACCTAGTGTCTATGTGTGCACGCCCCTGAATATAAGAAAAAGATAACTAAAGTAAATATATGATTATTTTATGTTTTAAGGAAGATAAACTCTCCCAATTAACCTGGACATGTTTAAAGAAGTAATTTGCTGCTACATCTCATAACCTGTTATGTCCCCCTTTGGAGAAACATCTGCCATCAAGTGTTGGAAAAACTGTGGAGTCCTTTACACTGCTATAGAGGAATGTTATCCCTCATTTATGCAGAACTATTTTCATTCTCAGAATGCATAAAGTTGGTCCTCGAGGGCCGCTGTCCTGCAGGTTTTAGAGGTTTCACTGTCTTAGAACAGCTGATTCTGATGATTGCAATTCACCAAAAGCCTGTTAATCAGCTATCACTGAAAATCAGGAGCAGAAAAACCTCTAAAACCTGCAGGACAGCGACCCACTAGGACCCACTTTGGGCATGCAACTGAAGGGTACTGTAGCATGCACTGCAGATGCATCTTGATCAGAATTAAATATCGACATTGAGGAGACCACCCAAGAACTTGCAGCTGTGCTTTACTGTAGACCATTTCTGCTGCACAGCCCATGTACACCTGAACGTGAGCTAAGGTCACAAACCAAGGATGGGGACATACCCCTTTAGGATATTCTGGTAAATATTACACTAAAATAAACTGCAAAAGACTACTTTTTTTTTACATAAGCCTTTAAAAATCTATGTATTTGCATGTATGATTCATTAATGCCCTTAAACCTCCTCTGTGAATAACTGATTTAATGGTGGATTACTCAATGGAAAATGTTATAGAAGCCGGTTGTTTTTCATTCTGCCCTGTATCATGTTAAGTAATGTTCAATAAAGTACTTTATGCATGCATGTTTTAGAACAACTAAAACATAAATCATGTTGCTTAGATGTGGTTATACTCTGACCCAAATATAGAGGGTAGCTTCCTTGATCAGTCAAGGCAAAATTCCGACCAAATTAAGGGTTCCCTCTTTCACGGAACTTCATCTAGATGTTGGAGCAGAGCATCACCAAATCCTCAGCTATCACCAATCTATTTAAATGTCAGTATGTGGTCCTTTTGTCGTAGTGATTTTCCATAGATGTAACAGGACACACACCTTTCAATACATTTTTTTCTTGTTAATCCTTAAAATGTTTTCCCAAAAGATAAAGGGGTCGTTTTCATGATTATGTGTTTAATAAATCTGAGTAAACTCTGGATGTTGTTTTGGGGTGTCTTTAACTTCCAAGGTACCTCATTTTTTTCAGTGAGCCTGATTATCCCTGACGTTTACCTCTTTTTCACTTTTATCTTCCAACATATAATTAGTAGTTTATTTGGAATTGTTAATTAATTTGTTGCATTGTGTTTTTTACTTTTTAAAAACCTACTCAGTCAGGTTCTATTCAAATAATATCTTGGTTGTGGTTAGTAAAATAAACTCTGCCTTCTTAACAGTAAATGATATATATATATATATATATGTATATATATATATATATATATATATATATATATATATATATATATATATATATATATATATATATATATATATATATATATATATACATATATGTAATACAATAGAAAATCACTTTATTGTCCCACAACCGGGAAATTGTGGGACAATAAAGGGAACAGAATAAGTAACAGAGTTAGGAAAATAAACAAATGAGTACCATACTGTGCAGTGTTTTTACAATATAAATATTCTGTATCTGGAGAGTAAATAATCAATAAACAGCTGTGGACATTTTTACAGTAATGGATGTGTGATGAATAGCAGCAACATCAGATGTGCAAAATGACAGCAGCATGTTATTTAACTGACTAAGACAGAATCTGTGCAAAAATCAGCATGAATCTAACAACTTATTGAGGTCGTTGGAACCAGTGGTGGTTATAGAGTCTCACAGCTGGAGGAAGGATCTATAATAATAATATTAATAATTTAATTTAATTGATCTCGCCCATTGTATGACGCCCAGGGAGCAGTGTGAGGTTAGGGGTTTTGCTCAGCAACTTGAGGGTTCTGCGCAGTATCCTTGCTGTTCCTAGAACTGCACTCTTCTGGACCGAGATGTCTGATGCCTTCACCTTCCAGGTTTTCTCCAGCTCTTCTCTGAGACCCTATTTTTTCTCTAGTTTCTCATGTTTCTTTTCCTGATGTTGCGATCACTTCGTATTGCTATCTCAACCACAACAGCTTCCCTCTGCTTTTTGTCCACCACCACAATGTCCGATTGGTTTGCCATTACCATTCTGTCCATCTGTATCTGGAAGTCCCACAGGATCTTGGCTCACTGGATCATCCTCTACCACCTTTGGAGGTGTTTCCCACTTTGACCTTGGGGTTTCCAGCCCATACTCTGCACAGATGTTCAGAGTATGTTGCTGAGCAAGACCAGTACTAATATAACACATTAATACAGTCATAGATAACATAACTTTCTTTGCAATACATTGATAGTTACACACTATATATATATATATATATATATATATATATATATATATATATATATATATATATATATATATATATATATATATATATTTTTTTTTTTTTTTTTTTTTTTTTGGCAGTGCCTTTGAGTTTCACTTTATGAAACAAACTTCTTTAATAAAAGAAATGATGCTTTCCTAAATATTCTATCTCACAAGGATCAACCTGTAAGGGATACAACCAAATACTGGCTGTCTAACTCCATACAATGAAATACAAAAAAACTCCATACAAAAAAAAAAAACGATATAGAAATTAGTAAAATTAATTTCTTAAATTAAGTGTATTTACCCTTGACTTGTATAGATAAATAAGATAATTTGCCAAAGGAATCAGTATTTTTACCCCTAAAATAAGATAATTAGATAGATAAAGAGTGATCAGGGCTAAATGGTTCGATTACAGTTTCTTGCTGTTTCAATGGTGCATCATAGATTCAAATATTTGAAGTAAATTCTATTAAGAATACTTGAGTATAAGTTTAGAAAGTATACCGAACAATGTACTTTTAGTGTACTTGAAGTATTACTAAAGTAATACTACTTCGAACTAAATTGGGACATTTACTTTAGTAAACAATAAAGTAAACAATAGTATAGTCAAGTACACTTGACTATACTATTATTAAGTATATGAAAATAGTTTAGAATAAGTACACTCTGATTTTAAGTATGAAATTAGTGCACTTTTGAATAAACTACTTTTTGCTAAGGGAATGATTAAATAATTTAAGTTGTCTCGTTTATTCTTATTTTAAGAAAAAAATACTTTTTGCAGTGTAGTATATAGATCTCCAAACGATTTCATTCCGACTTTGCGAAATTTCAGCTATGACTTTAAATTGTAAGAAACAAACTCCTCCCCTCGATTCGCTCTTCTGTCATGAGAGAAAAAAAAGTAAAGAGAAGAAAAAAACTCATGCATCGGAATGATTAAAACGACAATGTGCTCCATGAACCCTGGTGCGTTTTAGAGCAGCTGAAGTTGATCGGGACTTTACTGGCAGTGAAACAGGGACATTAAAGTGGAAGGAGAAGTGTTTAGAAACTATTCAGCTCACTCTAACTGATGGAAGGAGAGAGGAGGAAAAAGAGGAAATCTTTTCGCTTAACCAGAATAAGCGCTATGGACTGGCGAGGCAACATTTAACGCTACTTGTTTTGTTGTTGTTTTTTGGGTGAGATGACGGAATAATAAACAAACTACTGGCGTGTTTGTAGCATGATAGTGAGCGCGACATGTCTAACGCGAGGCCGAGTAAAAGCGTAGAATGGCTGCAGCTGGTGTTGGAGAGCGGAGCCTCCTCTCTGCTCCTGCTGGACTGCCGCTCTCACGAGCTCTATGAATCCTCCCACATAGAGAGCGCCATAAACCTGGCCATGACCGGCCTCATGCTGCGGAGGTTCAGGAAGGGCAACATCCCGATCCAGACCGTCATCCCCAAACACGAGGACAAGGAGAAGTTCTTGAGGCGGTGCAAGACGGACACGGTGCTCCTGTATGATGAGAGCTGCGCGGACTGGCAGGACGGAGGCTCCCCGGCCACCACGCTCTCCCTGCTGCTCAACAAACTGCGAGAAGACGGCTGTAAAGCCTATTATCTAGAAGGTAATCATTCTTATGTCGGTGTTTTATTAGAGATAAATACCCCTTTAAATATGTTTGTTTAAAATTCGACACTTTTCGCGTTGTCTGACTGAAAATAATCTATAAAATGACTCCTGTGTCCAACAGTTACAGTTTGAAAGGTGTTCAAAAGTTTGGTGTCACTGCTGAGATTCTCAATTAAAATTCCAAAATGGCTGCAGCATGTTTTGCTTCAGCAGGAACAGACATGTATTTCATGAATGGTCCTTCTAGGGAGCCTCAGACTTTTAAAGTGAAGCTCCTTTTTTTTTTCACCAGTAATAAAATAAAGTAATAGAAAACAACTTTAAAAAGTAATGCTGACCCTACCCAGAGGCGAACCCAGAACCTTTTCATAAGGGTGGCCAGGTAATAACCAATGTATACTGATAGGCACCAGAACCTCAGGCTCAATCTACACTGTTCCAACTGGAAAATTAACGAGCAAAACATCCATATTTTCGAAATAAAAACTAACTATAGTTTGCTACAGCCTTTACTAACAAGTAGACACATATATTTAAACATCAGTCCTTTCTAAATAAAAGGTACAGTGTCTGAAACTCTTTCAGTTTTGAGTTCCTGGGTGTAAATCTTTTCCATCGTAATTACTTACCTACTTTTATGAATAAATATTCTGCATAAAATTTATATTTACAAGCACTAATATCTACATAAATTGCTTATTTTTTTAAAGTTTTTATTAAAATTGTTATTTATCTATGATTTCACTGTAGACTCCCAGATGACTTGCAGACACACATATTTTTCTCTTTACCCTTTAAAACATAAAATCTAGTTCTGAAAAGAGCATGAGTTCTGTATTTATCATCTTTGATGTTGGTATATTGATGTGTATAATTAACCGCAAAAAATATAAATGTTTTGAATATTCCACTTGGGAGTATTACTGCTGCCAACATCTGTATTGGAGGGAAAAAAATGGTAGGGGTGGCCAATGAGTGGCTAAGGGGGGCCATGGCCCCCCATCTACCTCCGCCCCTGCCCCTACCTAATATGTTTCTAAACACCTTCGCTCAGCTGAGTGAAAGAAGGAAAATGTCAAGGATTATTATACAAGTTTATTGACAGGCTATTGAATAGTTATATATAGTTATTGCACAGGGTATCAAATAGTAATTGCACATTAGATATTGCACAAGTTATTGTCATATAAGGTCTTACCTAATAGGTCATTCCCTTGCTTACAGGAAAGATACATTTAGGGTATTTATATATGTATATATTCTCGGCAGTGCTGTTTGAGTTTCACTTTATGAAACAAACTTCTTCAATAAAAGAAATGATCCTTTCCTAAATATTGTAACTCACAAGGATCAACCTGTAAGGGATACAACCAAATACTGTCTGTCTAACTCCATACACTGAAAAAAACTATATAGAAATTTCTTAAATTAAGTGTATTGATTGACCCTTGATTTGTACAGGTAAATGAGATAATTTGCCAAAGGAATCAGTATTTTTACTCTTAAAATAGGATAATTAGATAATATGCACTTGAAATAAGACGATGCAGTTGTGTTTTCTTATTTTAAATCTAAATTGTCTTGTTCCATTGGCAAAATGTCTCTTATCTCCTCAATTCAAGAACAAATGCACTTATTTTAAGAAAAAAATGACTACTCTGTTGTTCCCTTGCTTACAGGAAAGATACATTTGGGGTATTTTATATATATATATCTATATATATATATATATGACATAGTGTGTAACTATCAACGTATTAAAATGAAAGTAATGTTATTTATGACTGTATTAATATGTTATATTAGTATTGTTTTATCAAGTAGGGATACCTGCTGCTTTTCACTCTCTAAATTAAAACAATTGATTATCTAATAATAACTATCCCGGAAAACAGAAATATGATGAATAATTAACCAGTTAATGACATTTTTCAAATCTGATAAGTTTTTGGCTTTTACAGTTTTACTGATGTGGACTCATGACCAGAGTTAAGATATGCTGCAACTGTTGGCGCTCTGCCTATCCTTCACCTATTGCTGGGCACTGCCTCTCAGCTGTCTGGGTAAAGGCTGATGGGATCATTTGGTTTTAAGAAAGACCAAGTCAGCTATTAGTAGAGACAAAACATGGATAGTTAGGAACTAAAGATGTATCAAAATCAAATTGCAAGTGTGTTGAAAGAGAATTATATCTAAAAAAATATATATTTTGTTAAATTGCAACAGGAATAATTTCATTTTGGGGTTTAAATTAAAAAATATATGTAATTGTGCTATAATAGTTTATAAAACTACAGTAAATACATTATACTTTTATTCAAACTTATCAAACCATAAAAAAAATTCACGAGCCCATGCTAGGTTATAAACAGACACTGTTATTTCTTGGAGTATTAAGGTTCAGAAGAGTGATCAGGGCTAAATTGTTCAATTACAATTTCTTCAATGGTGCATCATAGATTCAAATATTATGCTTTTGTAAATGATTAAATAATTGAAGTTTGTTTTTATCATCCATTTAGGTGGTTTTGTGAAGTTCCACACAGAGTACCCAGAGCACTGCGAGACTCTTCTGGACAGCTCCTGTCCTAGCTCCTCCCCCACTATACCCGTCTTGGGCTTTGGGGGTCTCAGGATTAGCTCGGACTGTTCAGACGGTGAATCTGATCGAGAGCCCAGCAGTGCAACAGAATCAGAGGAGAGCCCCGTTCCCAGCAATCAGCCAGATTTTCCCGTCCAAATCCTTCCTTACCTCTACCTGGGCTGCGCCAAAGACTCCAGTAACCTAGACGTGCTGGGCCAGTACAACATCACGTACATCCTGAACGTCACACCCAATCTGCCCAATGTGTTTGAGCACAAGAGCCACTTCAGATACAAGAAGATCCCGATTTCAGACCATTGGAGTCAGAACCTGTCCCAGTTCTTTCCAGAAGCCATATCATTTATTGGTAAGTGAAGCAACAATGTCAGACCTCAGGAAGGTTTTTTGTTACTGAGAATTTCCATTTAAGATAAAAAAAAAAAAATTAAAAATCTTTAAAAATTTTTAACCTTTAGTCATACAATGCATGAAACAAAAGATTTAAATATAAAAAAAAGAAAAAGTTTTGAAATTTTTAAAACTACCATCTTCATAAAGGAACCCAGCGCTTTGCAGTCCCTAAAATGAAAAAGGTCATTAGTGGTCAAAACCTTAAACTAGTATTGGTCAGAAAAAATCAGTTTATCTCTATTGAATAGTTTTATATATGAGGTTTCCTATTTTTTCATGTGTTTTAACCTGTTAACCACCAAGGCACATGAGGCTTAAGGGGCCAATAGGTTTTAGCTGTGGCCGACTATAAAAGGGTCTGGCAGGTGGAAAGGTGGAATACCTATCACTACTTATCAAAAGTTTAAATCGAGTACAACACTCTAATTCGTATTGTTTTTTTGTATTGTTATGGCAGGATTGCATTTGAGTTTTGCTTTTGGTTTGGTGTTTCTCACTATGACTCCACCTGAAACCACTGTTGTTTGTTTGGTGGTTACTGTGTTGTGTTGTCAGGAGCGGGTTTCTCAGTAGGTTCATACATTGAATGAGGAAGGAAGTGATGCTTCCCCTCTGTTGGGGTTTTGTTTGATTCCAGTTTTGCAAGCTGACAACTGTTTGCTTACTCATAGCTGAGCTGAATTGGAATCGCACCAACCATTATAGCAGAACTTGTTACGGTCATGTTGTTTACACATTTCCGACCTGGATTTTCCCTTTCTCCCGTAGATGAGGCACGATCAAAGCGATGTGGGATCCTGGTCCATTGCCTGGCAGGCATCAGCCGCTCAGTCACAGTCACTGTGGCCTACCTTATGCAGAGGCTGAACCTCTCTCTAAATGACGCGTACGACTTTGTAAAGAGGAAGAAGTCCAACATCTCACCAAATTTCAACTTCATGGGTCAGCTCTTAGACTTTGAGAGGACGCTGGGGCGGCACACGCCCTGCGATAACCGCTCTACCAGCGAGGAGCAGCTTTTCTTCACCACGCCAACCAATCACAATGTCTTTCAGCTGGAGACGACATGAGGAGTGATTTTTTTTTTTTTTTTTTTTAGTTGTTGTTTCCTTTGGTGGCTTCATCTGAGCTCATCAGATGCCTGAATTGCTGACGCAGGCAGTTAAGTCAGTGACAGTATTCAACTTCACATCGAGCTGCATTGATCTGTTTAACAGAGTCTATGTACAAGGAAATACAAAAGCTACTGTTCTGATGCCTTATTATATAACAATAGAACCAATCTAACTATCCTCCATACTGTATTATTGAATGGCCATGTACAGTCATAATAGATGGACTTTTTTATAATTTTTTGAAGTCTTTGATTCCTTTTGGACTGTTTGTTGTACTTTATGGTTCAGTTATGCATAGACAAGAGCTGGTATGAAAAGTCATATAACATCAAGTAAAAGTTCCACGAAATTAACTTAAAAGTATATAATGTTACCCAAATTATTCCTTTTACGACTTAAATATTGGATACTCTAAAAAAATGGAAATGTTTAAGATCCATAAGGCTGTGTTCAGTTCCCAAAATGATAAAAGTCTTGGAGGGACCAATAGTTGTTCTGGTATTTAATCCAAACTGACCAAAGTACAGTTTAAAACCCTGATCTAACAGCAATAAAATGCCCCAAAATGAGTTAAATAGACCTTTTTTAGTTTTAAAATTAAAGTATTCTTTAAACAAAAACTCAAAAAAGTGTGCTCCAAAAAAGGGCTTCAAAATAATAAGAAATGTGATGTGACCAAAGAGAGACAGCTTTTAATTATAAAAAAAAAATATGATACAATAAAAAAAAAAAGATGTTACTTAATTAAGGAGTAAAAAAAGGCAATAGAATAAGGAATGAGAAAACTTGATTTAAGATGTAAGAATCACTAAGTACCGTAGTTATGGGTACTTATACAAAATATGTTTTTGCTTTAACACTGGTATTCAAAGCTAAACTGTTAATTTGTTGGGCTAACTGTTTCAATAGATCTTATCTTCCATACACTTATAGCAGGCCAAAAACAACAGTTTTGGCTCGGTAGTAGTTTTCATAACTGTATCTTCACCATGGTCACAAGGAAGCTTTTGCAACACCTATATTTTTAAATAGACAAATTGCTTTTTTTATGCAAGTTTGGAACCTTCTTCCTGCCAGCCAATCCCACTGTAAAAACAGGGTAGTTGCAACTTAGACAGATCTTGCTTCTAATAAACTGTTGTAACAGTGTGATTAAAAAAAAAATAAAACAGAAGTAGTCTGATACCAGCCCATGCCTACATAGGATTAATGCATACAGCAAATCTGTAGCCAATCTGAATGTTTTCTGGGGTCCAATATGTGACTTCATTCAAGCTGAGGGAAATAAGCTTCCATATTCAGGTAGCACTACTCCACAGTTTTCCTACTGAAGATTAAGTTTTCACACAGAATTTAGCAAACAATATTTTATGTTCAAATTATGGCAATGCTGTACATATATAAATTTAAACTGTTTAAATATTTACCATCCAGAAGCCATGCAAAAGTTCCAAGATCCTGTTCATCCTGTTTTGTAATCTTTACAGTATGTTTGCCAATTTGTGCTGAGGCCTTGGCCATTCTTTAATATAAAACTGAAGTGTTGGTTATTATATTGAGGTATAATTTTAAAGACTGGCTTTTCCCATGTTTATAAGGAGCAGCTATGAAAGTAATGAGGGTACCAACAACTGGAAACCCACCTTATTTTGGGGTTTCCCCCGGACACTTTACATCCTGCAGCTACTGCGTACCGGAGTGTGTAAATAGCCTCTTTCTTTCTCTCATTGTACCTGTTTGTATTAGAACAGGTTAATGAATTTAATGCCTGAAAGAAAAAGAAAAGAAGCAAGGATGACTGGAGCGTTCTTACCTCAACAAAGACATTTTTCAGGGATTTTTTTATACAAGTCGGTTGCACGTCATCTTGGCCTCTTAAAACACACCCAAGGGCTGTTTTGTTCCGTATGTTTGTAACAATGCACATAAAACAGTCATTACTGGGGACATTTCTGTAAATCATGAAGGATGTCAAAGTGACCCCGTTGGAACCCATATGTATAGCATATATGAAGCTAAAAGGCATTCTGTACAAGTTTTTACATCAAATATATTGTATATTTTTACTTGAAAATTTGTTTTTTCTTTCTTTTTTATCTACACTTTATGGTTTTTTTTCCCTAATAGACAGAAACAAAGTGGTGGTATGGTTAGTCATCACCAAAGAGTGCTCTCAGAATCGTTTTCTGTCCAGGCTCAGAGATGTAGCTGTGGTCAGATGTCTTGTTTTTTTCTCTCTCTCTACTTTCTCTACTGAGGCTTGGTTTCCTGTCTCCACTGGGTTCTCTGACACAAAGGCAAGTCACAAGGCCAGATCTGTCAACAGCACATCGCTGACACGCCCTCCAGCCATCAATCAGCACTGAAAGTAAAGAGGAAGATGATACAGCAGAATTTTTGACAACTTTTTTCTGCTTCTACAAAACTGATTGTGGTTTAAAGTTTAACTGACAAAAATGCAATTTCCTGTCCTTTTCTATGAGGAAAACTATGGTTTTCAATAATGCTACCATTTATTAGGGACATAAAATGATAATAAAATACATATTGTGTGCTAAAACAGTCATCACTACATTAGGTACATTTGTTCAGTTGCTTGTTAACATAAGTAGGGAATCAGCCTATCACATAGCAGCAATTCATGAGAACTAGATGATTAAAACTTGCTGAAAAAGGTGAAGCAAAAATGTTTTTTTGGTAACCACAGGTTGGTCTGAATATCTCAAATATATGAGATAAATTTTATAGAATTCACACACAACCATGGATTTACAGGCAATGTTTTAAAAACAATGCAATTATCCAGTGAGTAGCAGTTTTATTGATGAAAACGATTTTGTGAAGAATTGTGAGGCTTGTCCCTTAAAGAAGCACACGTAACAAAGGTATGCAAAATATGATCTTTTTAGACAACACATTTAATTTTGAAGCAGAAGAACTAGAACTGCACCCTATGCCATATTTCCTGTCCTTGGCTAAAAGAAGCACCATTACAGTAACTGCCTAAGTTTTTTTTTCTTTTGTCATTGTTGACCCATCTGAGCAAACACACCCAGACACCTTCTCAAGCTCCTCTGGGGAAAGTCGAAGGTGTTCCCCGGCCAGCTGTGTGACATAGGCTCTCCAGCATATTCTTTGCCCCCAGCTACGGCAAGCTAAGCCCTTAGGAGTGCCTGGCCATCTTTAGAGGAAGCTCATTTCGGTTATTACCCAAATTTCTTAACCCTTTATAGGGCCCTCAGTGAAAGACTTTAAATATCTAAGTTAAGTCATTTTCTCCAAAAATAAGTGCATTTTTTTTTCTTGAATTGAGCAGGTATGTGAGACACTTTGCAAATGGAATAAGAAAATTTACATTTAAAATAAGGGAAAAAGTGCAGTCTCCTATTTCAAGTGCATAATATCAAATAATGTTATATTAAGAATAAAAATGATCCTTCCACTGGGAGATTTTCTTATATCGTTTTTAACTGATATTAGGGTAAGTGGGGCTAAACACAAATGCATGCCATACTTTTCAGATATTTATTTTTTAAAATCACACATAAAAAAAACCCACACACATCGCTTTAATTCCATATGTTGATTTATCATATGGTATCCCAATGAAATACACAACCATATGTATTTGTAAAGTGACAAAATGCATTGTTACAAAAAGTTGAACGGAAAGTAACATTTTATATTAGCGCTAACTTTTGTGCTGGATGGATTAATAACTGACACCTTTTTATTTTTAATACTTGGATACCACCCAGGAACTTTCTGCATTTTTTCCCCCAGCTGACTGAGAGTAAAAGCTTCAGGGCAGCATGAAGAGACTTGTCTGGCACCACCTTTCTGTGGTAAAAAGAAGAAACAAAAAAGTGTTGAATGATGGCTTTTTAAACATGACTAAACCTGGCAAGTCACATGTATTTGCTGGGCAAAGTTGTGATTAGGTCTGAAAGACACACACGATAAGGAAATGGTGAGCTATGGTGTCTGTGGATGATGGAAATGAGCCATAAATCCCAAAGGCCTTATCTGGAGCTGGTAAAACAGCACTTTTGAACAAGAGTGCAACATGATTTATGTTCAACACACCTTTAAATATCTTTTTTTTTTATTGCTGTAGCATTGCAGGGCCTTTTGATTTGATTCAAATTAGACTTTAATGTGAGGTTTCAGCTATTTGGCACCTGGCCAGGTTTCTTCTCTAACCTGTGGATTAAAGCCATTTTTAGTGTGTAATCATAATTTATCTAGGTTGTGTTGGGAGTTTTAAAGATTGCTGTATGGTTCCATACCTAGACTGCCTGAGAAAAAAGCAAAAAAAAATGTCTCTGCTAAATTATTATTATTATTATTTTATCACAGAGTTTATTGAAAGGGTGTGGGAGTATTTTGACATCAATTCCTCTTTAAGGGAGACCATATGAATGAAAAATGACTGTGAGGCGATCTGTTTTCCCTGAGTAGGCCCATGTTTTAGGGACACAAATTCAGGGCCATTTTCTCCTGTTATGATCTCTCGAGAAGGGAAGTAGAGGCTAATGTTGTGTTTACTCAGCAGTCGCTGACGGGGAAGCAGATGTGCATACAACTAGATTTTAGTTCACTGTGAGGGAAGGAGGGGGGCTGTGCGTGTTTGCAGGCCTGTTTATGGTGTATTTATGTGTGTGTTTGTGTGTGGGCGGTGCAGAGCAGAAGTCAGTAGAAGCTGGTCACACCTGCTGTGGTTAGAAGAACATACGTAACATAGTGCTTGGCTGAGAATTTCACAGCTGCTCCTGCTTCTGCTACACAAAAGCAGGAAAAAATTATTTTGAATTCATCCCAACTTTAAATATTTAAAACACATCAATCTACCTTTTTCATACTGTTAAAATAATGCTTTAAAATGCTCAAACAACCAATAGTGGGTCATTATTATCCCCTGGATCTTTGGCAGTGCCACTGTAACAGCTCTAGTCATTTGAAAGACTGCTCACAACTTACTTCAGGGATTTCTGGTCCCAGTTGTCTCATTCTGCTTGTGTACAGCAGATGTTCAGGCCCGCAGAGAATAATCCTAATCTCAGTATTTGGCTGCATGCTGTCCCTGACATCATGGTCCTCAGGATAGGATGACATCATGGTTGATGTGCTCTAATTCAAGTCATGCAGTTGGTTAAGTCAATAAACGATTGCTCAATCATTCTGGCTACTATGCTTTTAAAAAAATTTGCCTTTATTGCTCTATTTTTTATTCTTTCTCACACTTAAATATTTAGGACCATAATTTCACATTTTGAAATACCAGTAACAATTTTTTTTTTGATAGATTAAAAAAAATGTTTTTAAATGACGCTTTTCCTATGTGAAAAATAAAAAGAGCTTATCATTCAATCATGAATTAACTTATTAAATCAGGTTTCTCACAACTAAGCTCAATGTGTCCAGTCACACCTTGGCCTAATTATAACAAAACCAGAAGAATCAATAAAAAGCTTAACCAGAAATGGTATGATAGCATGTGATTAACATAAAACACGTATAAAAGTATCATACTGTGACCCAATATAAAGAAAGCCATGAGCAGAAGTCATTGAATGTGTCGCCCTTTCTAAGGCTATCAGCAAATCAGTGCCATCTTTTACAAATAGATGAACATGAAACAATGGGAATTCATCCCAGGAGTGTTCATCTTTGTTAATATGATTTAGCAAGAGCACATCAACGGCTCATGCAGGATGTCACAAAGAAGCAAGCTTTAGCTTAATTACGTTCAGTTTAATGACTCAGCAATGAAAAGACCACTTAACAAAATTGAAATCCATAGGAAAGTTCAATACCAGCAATTAAAAATACTTTTTGGACTGATTAGACAAAAATGTAACTATTTGAAAGCTGTGTATCTTCATATTTTACGTAGAATACTACATTTTATACAAGTCCAACATGGTGCAACTTAAAGGAATAGTACACCCAAAACATGATTAGCCTTCATTTTCTACTCACCCCCATACTGAACAACACTCTGGAGTACTTTTTTGATATCTCAAATGCATCTGGAGATCTGGGAGGCTTCTTGCTGTCTGCTGACATTCAAATAATGGAGGTCTATGGTGACCGAGACAGAAAGGTCCATAAAAGTCCACAAAAAACGTGTCAATATTCCTCCATACTGCTCGTCCAATGTATTCCAAGTGTCCTGAGTGGGTAGCATCCAGAATTTACTCGAAACAAAGTCATTTAGAATGTTTTTAGAGCATAAACAGTAGTGTATAGGATTTCCTGAAAGCGCGCACATGCTCGCTCACGACGCTACGGAAGCCGGCAGACCAAACCAGATGAAAGTGCTCATTCAGCGTCTGCTCTGCCAATAATGCAAGCGTAGAAGAAGAAATGTGCTGTTTACCTGTGCAAAGAAAGAAACAACAAAAGAAAAATGTCTGAGGACTTCAGTGTTGAGGAAGAGCATGAGTTCTTTGCCGAGCTGAATGCGCTGGTTTGGTCTGCCGGCTTCCGTAGCGTCGTTAGCGCTTTCAGGAAATCCTATACACTACTGTTTATGCTCTAAAAACATTCTAAATGACTTCGTTTCGAGTAAATTCTGGATGCTACCCACTCAGGACACTTGGAATACATTGGACGAGCAGTATGGAGGAATATTGACACGTTTTTTGTGGACTTTTATGGACCTTTCTGTCTCGGTCACCATAGACCTCCATTATTTGAATGTCAGCAGACAGCAAGAAGCCTCCCAGATCTCCAGATGCATTTGAGATATCAAAAAAGTACTCCAGAGTGTTGTTCAGCATGGGGGTGAGTAGAAAATGAAGGCTAATCATGTTTTGGGTGTACTATTCCTTTAATACTGAAGGACTGCTTCAGTGCTTCAGGACCTGGATGAAATGCTGTAACTGAAAGAACGATGAATAACATCCTGCGACCTTAAACTTACTGTAAGTACACCTTTGTTATGTAGAATTACCATTTCAGAAAACTGGAATTGCAGTTCAACCTTTAAAAGCATGAGCAAAGGCAAATACAGAATAAAAATGGTCTAGTCCAAGTATGCTCTAAAAAAAAAATAGAAAATTAACACTT